CTGAAGCCTGTCTTCTCTTATAGCCTTCGTGCATATGTTCCTGATATGTTTATATTGCCTATACGCTCCGTCGTTATTAGTTCGTTTGTATTCCGCCCAACAGTGCCTTTTGAGGCTTAGCAGGCGAAGGGTTCGGTTCTTGATTAATGTAGGTGGCTTGCAGCTTTTGGGAAACGTTTGAGGAACTGGTTGGTTTGTAACAAATAAGAGCGTATGCAATAAGAAGTCCCAATAACCGTCCACATCGAGTTGAGGGTGAACATACCAAACCACCTGTTGTAGAAAGTCATGTAGAGCTGGCACATTTAGCCGTTTAAAATTCCAACGCAAATTATTGTTGGGATACCTTAGCTTAGTTTTGGTGAGAAAACTGAAGGCTATGATGGCATGATCGCTCTTTCCCAGAGGAGCCAGGATTGAGAGGTTGTCAACTAGGTATTCTTCGTTTGTGAATACACAGTCTAAGCGTGATGGCGTCTGACTGTTTCTCTAACGAGTTGCCGACCTCACATTTTCATATAAGCCCAAGTCATCGATGAGGTTGAAGAACCGAGTTTCAATTGAGTTGTCGCCTCCAGTGTACGTGTTTTCCACGAAGTTGACTCTAGGGAGATTAAAGTCCCCTACAATCAGGATGTGTGTGAACTTGGTGCCCCTCCAAGCAAGAGCTTATGTATATGGCTACTCCGCCCCCAATTCTGTCGTTGCGGAACAAAGTCATCCCAGGTAATGCTAACTCTTGGTCCGAGAACTGAGAAGATATCCAGGTTTCAGATATTCCTATCAGGTGGGCTTTATTAGCGTTGCTAAGTTCACGTAATTCATCCAGTTTGTTTGGTAGACTCCAGGCGTTCATATATAAGCAGTTTATGCTTTCAATTTAGAACGCGTGAGCTTCGTCCTGTTTTTATGTATGAGCCTTATGTGAATGGACAGGTAGCCCACCTATGTGAGGTTTGCCGAGGTGGTAGGCCCTGTCCTTTACACGTTTTTTTATCATTTAGACAGTCCACAAGTGGAATGGTCAGCTCCAACTTGCCTTTGTGCTTGGTCCTAGCTTCATATGGCCTATCCAGGTACATGTGGATTCGAGGTGGCAATCGACGTCTGTTGGCACGAAATGCTCCCAGAACTGCAGCCGCCATGTGGGAAGATGGGAAGGTTATCTTCATTAGACGGGGTCTAAGGTCACCGTCCTTCTTGGATAGTCTCGTTACATGCTGAGTCAGTATGTGTTTGAGCCTCAAGGACTGTTTGATGAATTTCCATTCCCTGATGTCAGAATTTGGTTGAGTAGGGTCTGCATTTTCCGGTATACCTTGCACATTTATGTTTCTTCCGCGGAAAAACTTCTCGCGAGATTCTTTAGGGATGTTTCGTATGATATTGCGCTCAGAGTACGGTATGTCGGGCAATATTCTTACGTTACCATCTGATTTCAGCAAGTGACTTGCTAGCAAGACGTCCTCTACGTCGGTAGCATTCTTAAGTGTTACTCGGAGAAGCCTCGGGTGATTTAGATGCTTAGAATCATTTCCTCGAGTGAGCCGGGTGACCGTCAAAGGCTCTATTCTAGGAAGTTCTAGCTTCTTGTTTCATTCATTTAGTATAAATCCTTGATGGATTTATAATTTTTTCTTTATTGATGCATCAGAAGGTTCGAACATCAATCCTATAAGCAGTAGGTTTGGATTGCTGATTACTTACACCTCGAAATGTGCTTAGTGGAATCAAATGACTGTTCGTGGAGAGAAAGCACTGAAAACATTTTTCGACGTCATATATTCACGCTTATTTTTCTTTTCGTGAAGATTTCCTCCTGAGTAGTAGGAGAACATTCTTGACGATGGAAGGCGATTATAAAATTACACAGAGTAAACATCCTCATCAGGCTATTCTTAAGGTTTTTTCCACAGAGTTCTGTCAGTGCTACTTCTCGTGAGGTTTTTGGTAGCTTTCTGACTTTGAACACGAAAAATGTTCTCATGGATTTTCGGGCTAGCTCCTTAGTGCATCATCCTATATGAATACTCTCCACAAAGTGGTTTAGTATTATATGTTATGAGCGATCTGTCTTGAACAAGTTGATTATAGGTGTTACAATACATTGGGATTATATCCCTCTTAACGCTTTGGCACGTGTTGTAAGGATTTTTAGGCTTACTGAGTAGGGTTTAACATACCTAAATGAGATTTCCTTTGAACTCGTTCCAAGAGAGCCGTACCATTCTCAAGATAAGGTAACATTACGCAGACGTTTCTCCTGGTAGGGATTTGACTAGGAGTTGAAATCAGCTTTTAGTGGTTCTGGTTTAAGTTATATAATATCCTGGGGAGAAACCGTAAGAAAAATCACGCCTTTTTGTCTACAGATCTCCAAATAGAATAGGAACCTAACGCATCAATATGAGTGATGCCTAAGTACTGAAACCATATTCTGATAGTTTTGCCCAGGCGTTAGGTTGTCTCAAAATAGACAGACATACACATATAAAGATATCCAAGGATTCCCTTCAGTTTCTAAAATTAACAAAAAGTGTGTTTCCAAGTTTCACATGAAAACGAAACTGTGATATTGGCGTAAAGCATGAACGTGTAAGTTTTTAGAATTATGGTCTACTTCGTTATTAGTACTGCTATAATAATAGACCTAGCCCTAAAATTGTAGATTTGACATGGTTCAACTTCTTAATCCATAAGACCTTACGTGGAAGTCACAACATCGTCTACACCAGCTCATCGCGTCGTAACAATCACCGACAACACTAAAGAATGACCACGCCTGCAAGGCCGAGTCATGCTGCATTAACTGAATAAATGTTCCCGCGTCCACCATTATTGACTTTCTCCTAGTGTTCCATGTTAAAAGTCTATTTACATAGTTATCTCATGTCTAGCCTTGGGGATTGTAGTAAGAATCCGATGCCACTACAAGTGGCCAGAGGCTCACTAAGAATATGGATAGAGTAGTAGTTATGAATCAACTTCTCAAGCAGATCTTCATTACCTGTACAGCTTGACGTGCTATTCAACGCACGGAGAACCAATTCCATCATGTTCTTTGTCCACCGGCTGCCATGTCGTAATAAACATAAAATGTTTATAGAGACAAAAAAACATACTAACCTTCATGGAATAGATCTTTGGCATGTGCATACAAAGTATGACTACACGGCAATATGTTATCATTGAGACACTGATAGTCACATTGTGAACGTGTTGTATCAACAACAGATATTATAACCTTGTCGTTGTAGCGGATGTATTCTCAAGCTATCATTTTATTTCATACTATTAACTAGTTTGTAATTTTTAGCCATAGTTATGGCTGCAAAAGCTCGCTTTAAAGAGTCTGGAGTGAATTGGAGCTCGAAATTGATGATACATTCAACTACCTCAAGCTTTGGAAAACTTTGCAGATCCTTTATATCGTCACCTGGACTCAAACGTAGGTCAGTGTCTGAGATACTCCTGAATTTTCTGACTTTCGATAGAATAGAATCACCTCTTCTGAGACATTTTCAAGGCGTTTTTGAACACTTTCTACACGATTGTTGGTTCGGTTTCCCAAGCTTGGTACATGTCGCTGGTAACAACGAAACTGCATTGACTTCTGAGCAATCCAGTAATCTCCTATGTAATTATAGGCCTGTGAAAAATAGGTTCCCAGGTATTCATACTTCTGAATAAATCCGGATATAATGAGTTGTAAAAAGTGAAGCTCCCATGTTAGGTCGTCTGGTTTTTACGCGATGTTCCAAGCATTTACGAACATTGGCATTTCTGAACTACAACAGACAACTTCTACAGTTAACACTTACTTCCCAGAACAATGCTCTTAAGACATGAAACAACACAGTTTTATGTCGGCATGACTGCGTAGGCCGTACCGCGGGACTTTCAGCCGCTGATGAATCCATAAAGAAAGTGCGTGTACCATAAGTACCGCATATTATACGTCTGAAGTATTCGAGTAGTCTTACGATGTCTTCGCGTTGTGCTTGTCCGCAACGAACATACCTAACAGTATTCCCTAGCTCAAGACAATCAGTTGTCACTTGCTAGAACAGTGGAAAACTTCAAGATGAATTTGTTATCATTAGTTGGTCTGGTAAGTCAAGTCATTAAGTACCACCTCTGAAAACGCGTGGTAGATAGTTATTAGCTCCCTGCGAATGAGGCAGATCGTAGATATGTTCATAGAAAACTTTTACTTTACTGTTTGGCTGGACGCACTGTAAAATTCCGTCGATATATTTGGTGTCTAGAGTCCTTTGATGAGCACGTGAGTTTAGCAAGCTGGTTGAAACCGTCACCGGATTTTGGTTGTATTATTCTTGGTAAACTGTTTATGGAACTTCTAAGAAGTAGGATGTCAAATGCCTCGCGTCGACGTATTACTCAACAGGATAGGTCTTAAATATAACCACCCACTCAACGACAACTTCAGTCTCGACGGATCTACAGAAATGAATGGGTATAGTTGTGTAAGGTTTTAATAGAGGTGACGCTTAGCTCACAATTTACTACATGGACCCAAAATCTAGATTAGCAGTGGCAGTATTTCGATTTGAATGAAAATAAGCATTCATAGATGACTGACGTCGTGTTCTTTGTCTAGGTTGCGGTGGTGAGTAAGAAGGCGCATGCTCTCCGGAAGAATGTCGATCACTATCATCAAACTTCGGATTGTGATACACTGCGTTTACATCCATAAGTATACAAACATATCTGACGAAAAAATACTCTAGATTTGGGTCATCATTGTCCTTTTTGCATACTTACATGACATACTTAGTGTGCGCATACTGTAAAAATAACTAAAGTCACAGAAATCCTGTTGCTCTATGTACTTTTAGAAAGGTCTCAAAATTGTCCTTACTAGTAAATTGTCGCGATAACATAATATCATTGAAAATTCATTATATGTCATGCATTATTGCGGTAGTGTCACTTTCGTTACTTGAAGGATGGAAGTTATCAGACATAATGTGGCTGAACTTAAATCAATTGTCTTAATGTGACCGCTTCTGTAAAACCCTATGAATTACCAAGGTGACGCACCAATCGTTTTACGACGGTTTGACCTTTAAGTGCTCAGTGACCTCCACCAGCAGACGATACCACTAAAGCGTTGAATTGATCGTTGCTTTGCTTATTCCTCTATCCTTTCAGTACTGTTATCATGTTAGTGAATGGTGATAGTGATGTAGTGGGAGAAGCTGCTAAGTTTCACAAGCCAGGCGAAAATTATAATTCTCCCGGTTACATTGTGACAAAAGATACTATGAGGTTATTGAAAGAACACATGAAGCAAACCGGTGGTATAGTAGTTACCAGGTTTCCTCCTGAACCAAACGGTATTTTACACATCGGCCACGCAAAAGCAATCAACTTTAATTTTGGTTATGCAAAGGTTAGTTGATATCACTGCGATCTATTATTTTTAGAAACATGGTGGCATAACCTACTTGCGATATGATGATACAAACCCTGAAAAGGAAGAAGCAGAGTTTTTTGAAGCTATTGAGGACATGGTTCGATGGCTGGGTAAGTCTTTAATAAATTAATAGTTGTCAGGCTTTACTCCATACAAGATTACTTATGCCTCGGATAATTTCCAACAGTTATACGAATGGGCAATTAAGTTAATCAAATTAAAGTTAGCTTATGTTTGTCATCAGGCCGTAGAAGAAATACGAGGTTTTAATCCACCAACTTCGCCCTGGAGAGACAGACCGATTGAGGAATCCTTGCGACTGTTTGAGGATATGAAAAACGGCAAGGTATGCATATTCCATATCGGTTACGGATGTTTGGAAAATTTATTGCCACATATCTTTTACATAACCTTAGAAATAAATTTTGCTGGTTGAAAAGGCACCTTAATATCCTGATTATATTCTTTTGAAGGTAATATGAAGATTCTTGTAATTCGTATTACCAACACTTCGAAATGCGAAGACAGTATTCACGTTAAATTTAAAATCAAACCAGTACTCGCAACGCAAAGTGCAGTACGTATTCCTCACAGTGCGTTCTAGACCCGTATTTAGTCAGCGCCCTAGAACATATTTAGATGTACTGGGTGTACCTGATAGTCTGAATCTCTTGCATCAGAAACTCCAGATTAATAACAAGTATTTTTTATGATATCTCAATGAGTAGAGTATTGTATTTCTGATGTTTCGAAACATATCGGATTCTCAATGAGATTAGCAGAGAATGTTTTTACGGTAGTATAATATCCATACAAATCATACCACGTCGAACCTAGGATTACCCGAGTTTTAACCATATGCTATTCAGTTTTGATACTCGGAGGGTATAACTAAGTCTATGAAAGCTTACGCTAACGTATAGTCCTTGTTTCTAGTCATTGTAATGCCAAAATGTGAGATTTTAACCAAACGGTCATAAACAATTCGCTCTAAATATTAGACAACCTTGCTGACTTGTGTACCTGAGAATTATCATTTTGTGCTGCAACTTATCTTCATGTAAATGTAAGCATACATTGATTTAATTTTCATGTACTACATATCACTTACACAATTATTAGAAAACAATATGAATTCCTCACTTGTCCGTAGTTTGTTCGTTTTCACCTACAAATCAACATTCCGAATCTATATCTGAATTTTCGACAGTATTATATGTTATTTCTGTTTTTAGCTAGGCGATGGTTATAAATGAACTGGAGGGTATATCCTATAACATTATTACGTTGTATGCTTTCGTAATTTCTTACTGCTATTTAGATTGACGAAGGTATGGCTACTTTACGTATGAAAGTGACATTGGGCGATGGGAAAGTGGATCCAGTAGCTTATCGCATCAAGATGACTCCCCATCATCGTACTGGTACTGAGTGGTAGGTTACTTGCTTTTCTGTACTCTATGTTACAATTTAATTTAGGTGCATTTACCCTACTTATGACTATACTCATTGTTTGTGTGATTCCATCGAGAATATCACACATTCATTATGTACTAAGGAATTTCAGTCACGGTAAGTAGCAGCAAATAAAGTGATACATGCATAATACTAAGATTTTTGTCTAGGTACAATTTTTGTCATTACCTATTGCAAAAGTATTTAGTTGTATAGTGGTAGAGCTTAAAATATACGTTAGTGAATTTAGATTAGTTTTTTTTAATAGACGTAAAACAGTAAGGTTTTTAAAATGCATCATTTAAGGTATGTTACCCATACAAAATCACCACCCATATGAAATATTTATTTTACTGAAAAAGCGTGATAGAAAAAGTATTCATCAAATCATGTCAGATTATCTGCATTAACCTATAGTTGGTTCAATTTATTAACAGAAATATGGATTTCTCGATTGTATCCATATTAAGTCATTGAAATTGACTGAATAGTGAGTGGTGCAACTGAAGGTAGAGTGCGTTACATCTATTATGTTTACTGCCAGATTTTGAGTATTTCTTTACTGCAAATGTTTTGATTTTTGTTTTCACCTGTTCCTCTAAGCTTTTTTCATTCATAAACTTATAAAATGATCACTGAAGTGAACTTAGTCAAAAGGTTAGCCTAATAGCATTAGATCTCTTGAATAACTAAATGAACAGAAGATCAAACTTTTTCAGTGTTAGCTAGCCGCGACAGCTGTAACTTAGAAATGATTTGATTAGAATGATCGATAATATTGTTGTAACGTGATGAAGAATAGTGGGTGGGATGAAGAGTGTTTATGAGGTCTATAGGTTAAACAATTTGAAAAATTTAAAAATCATTGGATAAAGGAAATATGATATGTCATCTCATGTCATTGTTGTGAATTCGAACCCATTGACAGACAAATTTAGTGGTATGTATGCAGAGAAATTCTTGTGAATAAGATCCTCTCCTCTCTTCTAACATGTTATTGCAAATACTGATAAACAACTACAAATGAAGGTAAATAAAGATCCTTAGTCTAAGACTCTATAACTGTGCCTTTCGTTCCGTGTGCGATAATTAACTTGGTGGCAGAAAAGGTTGGTGTAATATTGATTTTTGACCGATGGCTACTTTGCGGGCTAGAATCATCCCCTTTGAATAAAAGTTTAACAAATACGTTTTTATTAGTAGTGGTGGTTAGTTGTGAAATACCAATTATGGGCTCAAAGTGTTCGTTAACAAACTTTATGGAATAGCCATTATCAATTTAAGTTCTTCGAATGCTTTCCAATTTTCAAATAAATCTTCACGGCAGTGTGGTATTTTTTGAGAATAACTCTCTATCAAGACGTTTTATTTGTAACTGATTAGAAACCGCTGAAATGAAAATGTTGACCCGTTTAAGAACTTTCGCTGTAAAGAGAACCCAATCAAGTTCAAGAAATTCACTCTATTTTGTGTTTCGTACTTTTGTGGATTTGTCGTTCTGCTGACCCTTAGAAGAAACCATCTACTTTATGATTCATTTAATGCCCTGTGCTGTGTTGACGAAATCAGGACTGTCGTGTATGTAGCCAGTTCTTTTCTTTTGGGATTAGTCAGTCGATCAAGTCATTAAGCTTGTTGTCCATTATTCATTCCTAAGATGACCCATGGATTGTTGTCAGTCATACATGTCATAGGTAGATCCTACAACCTTGTGAGGTAGGTGCCTGTTGGTTTGAAAATCTCGCAAATTGACTCATCTATTTCTCTTTTCTTCAGTAGTTTGTTTAGAAGGTGACTAATTTTCCCAGTTTGGTGTCATTATCTTTATCCAGCTTATCCATAGCGAGATGTTACTCATCATCTGGTAATTTAAACGTTCAGATATATCCTCGTTTATTGTTCCAAAACCGAGGTCTGAAAGGAGCTGTTCGATCACTTAATCTAATGGAAAGCAGCTATCATTTTCATCAGCTTATTTACAGTGTTCCTATACCTTTTTGGTAACAGATATATAGGGGCCGCTGGTGTGGTAGAACGTTTTGTCGGTAGGGTCATAACTCTGAATTTGAACCAATTTTTCGTATCTCTCGGTATAGGCCTTAATTGATAAAGCTGATTCTGTTAATTTTTAAACTTATATATTTAATCAGTTTGGCTTTATTTATTGTTTAAGACATGAAGTTTAAAGCCTTTAGGTAAGGTTCCTAAATCTAGTTTGTTTAAGCGAATATTAGAAAATTCTTGATGTAATTTCTTGAACTTGTCTAAAGGATGTGTCTCTCTAACTAAGGATTTTCAAGCGAGTGCGAATGTGGAAAATAATTCTCATTCATTAGTTAACTAAGAGATTTTGTGCATGATGCACACAAAATGCCATTCACAAGATACTTTACTGATACAAACTAGTGCTTAAGTAAAGAATTTAAAGACTAAAAAATGGAATAAATTACTGGTTCTGATTATTCTGAGAGAGATTCGATTAAAAGTGACGGATGGTATGCTAGTCAACTAATGAGGAAAAACAATATAATGAGACCGAGTAAGTGTTCTCAAAACTATTTATTTATTTACAGTTTTCAGATATCAGAAATGGTGAACAATTATTTGGACACTTGTAGTCGTACAATTTCCCCTTTTTAGTAGGATTTTATATCGAGTTTAACATGGTCAGAAATTTCATAGCCTATAGTCAATGGGCTGGGGACAATATTTAAAGGTTACTAAAGTAGCCAATAAACTAGGCACTTCAGATATCGACAGGAATTCAGTCTGTTATTTAAGGACTTATGCCGATTTGTTTTTCAAACAGTATTTTCTATGTTTCAGTTCTTACTATTCGTCGCTATATATATAAGTTTATAATTGTATAACTAGTAATGATGTATCTTGAATTCATTGTTTTAGACGTCCTGCGTATTATTGGCTTTGTAATTCACTAAATCTTTATTGTCCAGTTCAGTGGGAATATGGTCGCCTCAATTTGTATTATAGTGTGGTGTCTAAGCGCAAAATTTTAAAGCTGATAGAAGCCGGTATTGTTAATGACTGGGATGATCCACGGTTAGTAACTTTGACAGCACTCCGTCGTCGTGGATTTCCACCTCAAGCTATTAATATGTTTTGTGAACGTATTGGCGTTACTATGGCTCAAACAATCCTTGATCCTTCTGCTTTAGATGCTTGTGTACGGGACTATCTGAATGATCATGCACCACGTGTGATGGCTGTTTTAGAGCCAATAATAGTAACTATTACGAATTGGCATGAACTGTTTGGCGATAAGTCTTCTGTCGAGGTAAAATGATTTTTATTTTCAAAATTCTTTACATTCACTGTTTAGGTTGACAGCAAACTCGGTATACTTTACTTTTTGTTTTTAGCTTACAGTTGCGGATTTTCCTGCCATTCCAGACAGTAAGACGCATATTGTCCTGTTGCAACAGGAGCTGTACATAGAAAATACAGACTTTCAAGAAGTTGCTGAAAAAGGATATCGTCGTTTAACACCTAACCAACCAGTTGGTCTTCGTTACACGGGCCTTGTTTTAGAATTTTCCGATTTAAAAAAAGTAAACTATACTGTTTCAGATTTTTTTTATACAAGTTTCGGTTACATTTAAATTTCATAAAACATTTGTTTCCTGATCATTACTTTGATGTGCATATACATGTATTAATACAAAATTTTAGACAATATTTTTAAGTACATGTTTTCCAAGTAAAAAATCACACCGTTTTATTCAATTAATGCGATAGACTCGTGATATCAATTTGCTACGCTCCTTAGCGGCACAAGAAATTAACTTACATTCGGAATTTTTTGTAAAAATGTATTAAAATAAGTTCTGAATAAAAGTAATTCTGAAAGTCATATGTATTAGTTATCCAAAAAAACGTTTCGTCTGACTTTTGCATCGCAAACAGTATCTTAACTCAATAATCTTGTAGAATCAATCCGCAGCCCCCTAACAAACGTTATATTTTTCCAGTTTCTCATTCATTAGATGTGGTACACAAGACTTCTGTAAGTTTTAGTTTTTGCTTAATTTTTATGGTTATTAATGTTTATTCCCATTTATCTCTGATTTGCGCTTCACATAGGATTCCGATGGGAAAATATCTCATTTATTTGTGAAAGCCCAGAAGGTAGAGGATTCTACTAAGCCAAAAGCTTTTATACATTGGGTGTCCAATCCTTTGCAGTTTGAAGCTCGATTGTATGACCGATTGTAAGTTTAGGTTTATAGCTCATATATAATATCTCAAAATTAGTCATTCACGAAGTCAGTAAGATTTATTATCTGGTGTTTTTAGGTTCACCGTCAAGGAGCCAGAAAGCGAAAAGAATGGGTTTTTGTCTGTGATTAATAAAGTATGTCCGAATAAATTTGTATCATTTTTACTATGTTTTCCTTGTTTTTGTGCAGACAGGTTAGTTAGGCCGTTATACAAGTTCGAGAGAAATATTAAATCAATTATGTGATAATTGATAATCAGTTTAGTCTACAAATTGTACGAACATCTCTCCATTTAATGATAAGATTGTTCTTAAAACTCACTGGTAGTACTTAATCATTCAGCATATGCTTAATGCAATAGATTTTGTATGTTTTCATCGACACCATACAAGTATGATAATCATACAATACCAGTCTGTTCACATTACTGAACGATATCTTTGAGACCTTTTTGAGACATCCTTTTTCATCAGTTTTGGATAGATACTCTTAGTCTTGGTATATTGCAATATTTCCTGACTTACTCAAATTTAATAGACAATCACGTATTGGAATCGATCCAGTGCATTTTTCAGCTAATTACAGTTAATTCTTAAACGTTTCAGATCAACGTTTTGTAAGACTTGTATTGTGTTTTGTTTTATTTTGCACTAATATTTATTTATACTTACCAATGAGCATTAAGAAAATCAGTATAAAGTAATTTGGCTAAACTGCAATTAAATCACAGTGTTTCGTTTGGATGTCTTTTCTTTAACTTCTTAGTCATAAATAATAATAGTTTGAGGTGTATAAACTATAGTTTCACTCCACAACCATTCAATGTTTTCCTTTTCTTGTATATGTATGTATACAATAACTGCAATGTTTACGCTTCTCTAGGGTGGCCACAGTTTCCAGCAGAAAGAGATCCGTCCCAATTGCTGAAGAAAAGGGGTTGAAGCTTTCGTTTCTAAATACTACATATTTACCTAAACTTATTAAAGGAGAAAGTTAATTCACTGTTCTAGAAATGATATGTAAATCACTCACTTTATTGTAGTTTTTTAAGCATATTAAAACCATGCTTTTTAGACAGAGTCATATATAAGGTATTGTGACTACTAGCTTTTTGTAAATTTCAGGTTAATTTCTGAAGACTTCTGATTTTTTATCTACATTAACCCACTAAACTATGTTGGCCACCATTGTGTTATGTAATTTCGCACGTGCTTTTCATCATAAGATTATAATATTCCGTCTAATAAATGGATTTTCAGTTTTTATTTAAGTGCTACCATTAAGTTTGTTTTATTCATTACCAGTTGTTTTTAAACTATTCATTAAATTTATGAGTTTTTGCCTTGAATTCCAACTAAATATTTTTGCGGTGTTGGTGTTTGTTGGACCAAACATTTTGAATAATTATGCACTGATTATCAAGATCGATAAACCTCAATGGTTCTGCTCCACATAAATGTCTAATAGAATTCAACAAGAAACTATCACTTATTGTTAATAGTTCAGTATCGGTAGTGTATTGAGAAGATAGAGTCGATCTGGAAAATTCGATGTATTTCCACAGTTATCATTTTGTAAAAGCTAAATAATTTTCGGCTTTCGTATAAAATACCGTCACGAGGTTTTTCGAAGTGTTGCGCAAGCACATTAGTTTTTTCCAGGTCACTTTTGTCTCTTATTCAACTTCAAATTGTATTTATTTGTATAATCCATTTTCGATTACGTAAACTATACGCAACCAACTTTTACATTGTTCAGAATTCATTAGTCATAATTCCGGGTGCTTTGATTGAACAGTCTGTCAAAAATGCTGAGGTTTACACTGCCTATCAATTTGAACGTATTGGTTTCTTCTCTGTGGATCCTGATACTAACTCACAACGTGTAAGTCCTTTATTCTCTGATAGGTAGTATTTGTACTGTTTACTATAAAAAGAATCTCAGGTAAACCTTAAAAAGACTACAACATATAGTGATTTCGTTTTACATCTTTGAATTCTTAACACCTTGTTTTCAACTCATTATTTAGAGTAAACTTGAGTGTACACCTGAATTACATAAAAGAATGCAACATCTATCGAGTAAACTATAGTTCACAAATGATTACTAATCCAAATGGTTCCCTGTATTTGAGTTTAAAAATTTGGATAGTAACGTCTACTTTCATAAAATTTGTAACTCATGGTCTAACATGTGCTTACTTGTATTATCGTCAAATGAGTACCATTGTAAAGTACTGATCTATGAAGAAAGAATTGGCTTTTGTTCATTCTGAAAAAATAAGACGGTTTTACTTTCACTGTAATCATCTTTGTGCGCCACATCATTATTTCTTCCCTATGTTTCTATTTTGTTTTAGATGGTTTTCAATCGAACTGTTGCTCTAAAAGCCGATCCTGGTAAAACAATTTAACACCAAACATGTATAGTGCTATGTGACTTGTAATACACTTCTTACGTTGGATACCCTTTTATCTTTGTTGCATTTATCACACTTCACGTGGCGAGACATTTTGAGTGTTGGATAATGTTTAATCAGTGATAATGTCACTCCAAAGATTTCGCTTTATGGGTATAGTTGCCTGTATTCATAAAGTAGTTTGTGGTTTTCGGATTTTAAGGTTTTAAACATTTAGTAATATTTTCGGTCGCCAGATGATTAATAGGATATTTACCTGTAAGTGAGAAACCGCAATCACATTTTTTATCTTTATTAAGGGGCGTGTTTAAACCCATTTGAAACGCAGGATGGTACTAAATTTGTATAGATGTTGACGAGATCCATCATTTTTGTTTAAAAATAGCCAGTTATGTAAATACTAGTCAAGTAGGCCGATTACGTTTCTGAGCCTCACTGAATGCAGGAAAGTCACATTAAGAAGACCCATTAGCGTTGAACTCGGCGATGAGAAGGTCAAAGGTAAATTCCAGGGACAACTGTAGTCACACTTAAGTAATTTTGAAAACGTGGCTGACGCAGGTGTTGTTTATAAAGATATACGGACAGCTGTGGAAACAGCAGTAAAATCTATTGTGATTTGAACCAAAGTGTTACGAAAAACCAGTGGATTCCTACCAAGTCTATTGCACTGATAGGTTCTTGTAAACTCATCCCATCAGGCTCCGAACACGATGAAGAACGAAGAAAAATCAGATCTAGGTTAACGGGAAGTTTGAGGAACGTTCGCGAACATTGGTGGGCAACGAAAGCAAAAGAGATGGAAAAGGCAGCGTTTGTAGGTAACACTAAACAGCTTTTCAGACTCATAAAAGAAACTGAAATTAAGAAGTCAAGTGTGAGACGATCTCGGAAAAAGACGGCACTCTTATCTGCTATCAGCCCAGACGTTTAGAATGATGGGTGGAACACTTTAAGGAGCAGTTCAGCTATTCTGCAGCTACCCACAATTTCCAAGCATCCTGAATGGAACGTTGAAATAGACCCCTCAACTCTAATTGAAGTTTAAAAGGCTATAGCTAATCTGAAACGAGGAAGGATAGCTGGTCCAGATGCATTGGCTCCAGAGGTCTTTAAGGATAATGTTCCAATTTTAGCGATTAGGTTAACTGATATTTTAGCTAAAATCTGGGAGTTGAACATAATCCCATCTGAGTCAGAGCTAATGGAGAACTGTCATCTGTTGTTGCAACCTCAAGTTGTATCCTAAAAGGTTGTTCACAATCTCTTTTGTTTTATTTCATCATTATTTTATTTATTTATTTCAACACATAGATAATGGTACAAAGAGGCATCAAATACATATGCGCCACACAAATCTCATTCGATATGTGTGAGGGCTGTGATACTGTCCGGGTGCCCAAACCGAAGCAGGTGGTTTTCTTAGGGGGCCACACCCCGAGCCTTCGACCTGAAGGTCTGATCCACAAGGCAGTGGAGCATCGTGAGGAGATGCAGTCCCATGGAAGCCGGTGACCAACAATTGGTTCATTCGCCATTTGTTCCCGCAGGATACTGGAGCCCATGTGCACCATTGTTTTGGAATCCGGTTAAAGCGCCGGACATACGCTTTTCGCCCTCTCATTTCCGTAAACAACACCCCCGCCACGAGAAGGCAGTGAGTAGGACTTCCCCGACAGAGGCTATATACGCGTGGCCGTGTGAGAGTATTTCGAGAGGGAGAGCGGACTCTCCCCACTCTCGGCCGTACCAGGGCATTTGGATTAAGAAAGATTAGTATCGTTGTCTTTTGCTAAATATGGTGTTAACGCTGTTTCCGAGTACCAAGTTGATGGCTAGTATATAGCAAAGCAGTTCAATTCGTTTAACTTTACACGTATTAACCCTATGACTGAAATACTAACAAAACTATTATAATCTTATGATAGTTCTCGTACATTGATGTCGTTAACTCCCAAGTAAAGCTATAGTTTCGTTCATGAGGATTAACCAGTTATTTAATTCGTACTTGCAGAATTTATCACATATACTTAATTTTTCTCTACCCAAACGAATGATAGTAATGGAGCGAGTTTAATTTTAATGCTAAGTACGTATTGTCTTGTTTCGAAACTTTTTAGGAGTCAGTTTCCATAAGTCTTTGGTGTTATGTCTAAACGCCAATCTCAATGGAGTATGTATATTCGTTCTTTATCTCAAATACAGTACGTTCTTATTAGTTCTGCGGGCTACTTTTATTGTTTAAATACTTGTACAGGAGCTCCTCTGTCAAAGTTTTAAGCCTTTCTATCAAATAGTTTCAATGATCTGATGTCAGTCCTGGAAATTAGAATACTTTTTTCACCAGGTGCCTGATGAACGGTCCATTTTTTACATGGTCACGCCGATTGCGTAGGCTGTAGAGGTGTCGAATAACCCAACTAAAATTATTTAGCAATAGGGTTGTATATATGTTTCTCGTTTCTAAAATAAATGTCTATCAATTCAGACTACAAATCCACATATTCACTTTTTTGGAACGGAAAGTTACATTATCGGAACACTACATGAACACTTATTTTGAGAGCGCTGATGTATAGAAACTGGTTTTTGTTTCTTGTTGGTTTGATTGTACTTGTTCATTGCTTTCTCAGCCTAGTTTTTTATTGATCAGTAGTTACTCTCCATTTTTATGCTTTGTTCCCAGAATACATTCACTATCAAACATATTTTAACCTTTTTTTAAATAACTTATTTCTTAATATGTTGTACATACTTGAGTATTTTTAAGTATACTTGTCATTTTTGCTTAAAATTGAGACCGCATGTATCTGGTATTATATTATTTATAAGAAGTTAGGAAGAAAAGAGTAGTGAAGCGGTTTCATTCTGCTATCTATAAAATATACTTGAAGCTCCGACGAAATGTTTCAAAAATACGTATACTACTTATAATTGGTATAAAATATATAAGAATGTTATCAAAGTAGTGGACAGTCATGTGAGGATAATAGTTAGATTGATGATACATTAACATTTCACGTAAATATATTCACGTGTGAATAATTCTTTGTAAACCAACGTTCTGAGAATATTGAAAGGATTCAAGTTTGTCAGTGCATTAATAAGGGGGGGTTTTAGGAACGGTAAGTGGCCGTACATCTACTAATTTCAAAATAATCAAGACTCATTTTCTTTGTATATTGAGACAAGTGTTTGTGATTGTATGTACTCATCAATAAAATTGTTATAACTTGTGAACCTGTATATTGGATAACGCGACGATACCGCCAATCAGAGAGCAGCGAATTATCGATCGAATCAGTGACGCATAAAACACGTGCGAGCAGCCTAGAGTCCTGGTTGGTCTCTCTTCCCGTCTAACCCAGGCAGTTAAGTCCAGAACACCAATCTCAGCCTCTGCAATATGAATCATTTATTTCAAACATACTCTGTTATTATACCAATCAAACAGGCCACAACGTACCATAAAATAGAAAAAAACATTTGTACAGTATTTGGCCAAAAGTGGCTGTAAATAAGGGAGGTAGTGATTAACAGACAAAAAATAATTCAAGAATGGTAAACCGTATAATAATAGTTCATAGGTCAAAATAAAACTCATGTTAACATGGACATGAATATGAACAGTTTAGTTACAAAAAATTACACGATAAAAATATACTGATAATATTAGTCCATAAATGGATCCCAAAAGTTACCATTCATTATTCTTATCGGGATATATCAAGAATTTTTATATTCAGTCTCATCTTAATATATATGAGATTATATTGAAGCATTAAATGAACATGTTAGTCTCAAACTAAAGAGTTCATTGGACTGTTCAATAAACTCATCTTAGTTTTCAAGTGTATAAAATCATGGTTATCAAAATACTATCTTGACCACAGGAAAATTTATCATCATGTTTTGAAAATTTAGTTTGTTTATATCTATCTGAAAAAAATTATGTGCAATAAAATAATTTAATAATCACATTAAATAGTTTTACTGGCAAGAATAATTTCTCAAAAATTGTTGCTTATAAACGGACTGTCTGCTTTTCTCGATGGTAAACAAAAGTTTTCAGCATATTTTAGAGCAATAGTCATTTATTAGGCGATGTGAACTTTCTTAGATAATATGTAAGGAGATAATGAAGATCCACACTAATGCATCATTCTAATCTATGTGATGAAACAGCATATCAAACAATACTCTACTGCATTACTTTCAAAATAAGAATATAAGACAGTTAATGACTCGATACTAGAACATCTAGTTGATTTCAGTCACATTACTACTCCACAACTGTCTTTCGAAATTGTCTAAACAGTGTGATTGAAAAGGAGGACAAATCGAACTTGTTCACTATAGAGACTTTAGACTTCATCGTCTCAAGTAGAGACTTCATTCACTCCATCCCTGAGTGTATTGGTGAAACAACGTACTAAGAAGTTTTAATTTCGGTAATTAATTATACTTTTGGTCTCATCGATAAAAACTTGAAAGATCACCTGCGGATTTGAAGGAATTTCTATGAATATCAGATTGAAAGATGATGCGGTGGAAATCTTCGGTTGACTCTCGAAATCAATAAGCAGAGTGTTTTGTCCCACTAAGTTTCATATTATCTTCTCTAGAGGACCTGTGACCCATAGATGTGGTAGACGTAAATTTCACATTAATGTGTTTCTATAGGTTTACTGTCTTTTGTTAAGCAGATTTTATAGCTGAAACAAAGCGAAATGTTTGTAAACCTATCTTTTAGTGATATGGATTTCAAAAAGAGGATGGGAAACAATGAGTATCTTAGTATCAGAACATCTTGTCAATTCTCGTCACATAGCCAGAAACGTCTTTCGAAATCATTTGCACGGTCGAATGACCTTGCTGATAGGAAGCTCAAATGAATAATTTGTTCATTGTATAGGTCTTAACAATTAAGTATTTCAAGCTTAAACTCTTTTTGCAGAGGCAGCATGCGTTATACGTCATTTTGATGAAGATCGTAAGACTTCTAATTTTTCATACTCGTTAATTGGTTACATACACTTCCAATTTTTAAAACTTATTGATCATTGGTTGTTCCTATAGAATTGAATACAGAGTATTAATACCTT